CTGCTATTTAATGATTTGGTCTGGTACACAGTACAGTATGTGCTTCATTTGGGGAAAATTGCAAGCAGCTAAATGTGGGGCTTCGTATAAAGTAAAGCAATAATATTCTTAGCGTTTGAGTCATATCCACATAGTGCACAAGTCCAGCGCACGATGCTCATGACTCAGTTGTTCTTGGTGCAATTTCTGGATTTTGTTTGAAAACAAGGTTTATTGTCACATTTTGGTCGTTTTATGTTAAGTTTTAGTCAGGGTAGTCTTAAAATCTCTGCAGTATATATTCCACTTCACCACATGTATTTTAAAGAGTCATCATCTGCCTCCCAGACTCTCTTGAGTCCTTCTGCTTGCTGCCAGCCCTGCCCATCCTTCCTGGATATGAGGTCATGACAGAAGGACCAGAACAAAGGATGGGCAGCAGTCATCTTAATTTAAACTCTTTCATATATTGTATCTTTCCCTTTTTTGTCCATGTGAAGTAGAAACAGTGAAAATCAGCAACTAGAAGCTTATTATGTGTAAATGAATCTGCAGAAACAAGGCTTTTGTTGCAACTTTGTACATTATATCACTGTGCACTTAGTTATTAGACAGAATGGTCCTAGTTTTAGTTAAGTTGTTTTTATTTTATTTTAGTTATTGTTTATTTCATCTGTCTCTTCTGTGCCTTGTGGCACATATGGCCTCAATTGTTTATATAAAAAATCCATATATTATCACAAAATATAGTTTATTTAGTTATCATTTCTGGATATGTATCCTATTTAGTAAGTTTAACTATCTCATTTGTTTTTCAAGATTCAAGGTACTTTTATTTTTCTTATTCTACAACGCAGGGCTGCACAGTGGAATTAAAGCTCACGTTAGTAAAAAAGAAAGTGGATTACAAACTACTTTGGGGCTTTGGTACAATACCCAACCCAAACATAATTCTGATGGACTTTCTAACATGTCTGGGACAAAAACAACATGAATTCCCACATACCTCCTGGCTTTGATATTCCTCGTGTATTGTACTCACCCCTCAGCCGTACAAGCCTCTGAGCTCTCTCCCAGCCCAGGCTGAAGGAAGGGAGGGGGGGGGGGGGGGGGGGGACGCCGACAACTCCGGAGTCTGGACGTAAGTGAAGATGAGGAGCTGCTCTCTCCCATTGAGCGAGGGAGACGGAATCAAAGTTCAGCATCAAATCTAGGAAACACGGAGAATAGCCTACTCAGAAATGAAATGTTTGCCTCTCAGTGTGCGTTTAATTTCCGACTAAACCCTGACTGCGAGCATCCTGCGGTAAGTTGTGTGAAGGCTCTCATTTGAGAATTTAGGCTACTAGACTGCTCGAATCGGCACAAGTAGGTTAATTACAACTATGAAGTATAATTTACCGTGAGGTAAAATCGATTATGTCTACAGTGGATGATTGTGATTACCAATAAAGCTAATTTCATGTCAAAGATAAATATTCATATTCACTTTTGTAGTTCTGGTAGTTTGTGTAATGGTCCAAGATTCCTATGTACTAGCATCATGGTATATTTTAAGGTGTAGACTTTGTTTCCTAGATATTTTTTAAAAGTGTTCTGCAGGTATTTTCAAGTCTTAATAATGTCTTGTTTCCAAAGGAGTATGCTAAGGAAAAGGTGATTATTTAGTTATTTATTTATTTATTTAGTTTTAATCCATCAGAATAAACACATGAATTGCTGAATAATGACAATATTGAACTATGAATTATCTGCTTTTTTGTAATAACACGCACAAATCTTCCAGTGCAGTTGAACACAGTGGATCTGCTGACACTGGACTCCTTGCTCACTTCTGACATCCAGTGTCAGGAGCTGGTGCTTTGAAGATGATCAATCCTCAGATATTCCTCCACTACAACTACACAGGAAAGCTGGACCACCGGCCCAGCGTTGGCACAAGCCCTGGCACTGTGGACGCCAAAACCATTGTCTTCCTTGTCATATGCAGCTTCATCGTCTTGGAGAACCTCATTGTGCTGGTAGTCATATGGAGAAACCACAGGTTCCACAACCGCATGTACTTCTTCATCGCCAACCTGGCGCTGTGCGACCTGCTGGCTGGAGTTGCTTACCTGGTCAACCTGCTCCTGTCAGGAGAGAAGACCCTGCAGCTCTCCCCTGCTCTCTGGTTTGTCAGAGAGGGAAGCATGTTTGTAGCACTTGGCGCCTCCATTTTTAGTCTCCTGGCTATTGCTATAGAGAGACACCTGACTATGATAAAAATGAGGCCTTATGATGCCAACAAGAACTACAGAGTGTTTCTGCTCATAGGGACCTGCTGGCTGATCGCTATATCTCTTGGAGCTTTGCCTGTTCTAGGCTGGAACTGCCTGGACAATCTCCCCGATTGCTCCACAGTCCTCCCTCTCTACAGCAAGAAATATGTGGCTTTCTGTATTACAGTTTACATGGTTTTGCTCTTAGCCATGTCTGTCCTTTATGCCCGCATCTACATCCTGGTTAAGTCCAGCAGCCGAAAGGTGAGCAAGCACAGAAACTCTGAGCATGCGATGTCCCTGCTGCGCACTGTTATCATTGTAGTCGGGGTCTTCATCGCCTGCTGGACGCCCATCTTTGTCCTGCTCCTGGTGGATGTGGCATGTGAACAGGGCTGCCACATTCTCTACAAGGCTGATTGGTTCATTGCGGTGGCTGTGCTCAACTCAGCCATGAACCCAGTCATTTACACTCTGGCCAGCCGCGAGATGAGACGGGCCTTCCTGGGTCTGGTGTGTGGCATTTGCTACAGGGGGAAGGCTTCTGTAAACGGCGCAGAAGCCAGGCAGGCTCTGGAGCCCAGCCGCAGCAGGAGCAAGTCATGGAGCAGCCAGAACAACCCCAACCAGAACCAGCAGAGCTCCAGGCAGGAGGAGCTGGAGAAGGAGGAAAAGACAGTCCCGGTCCATGGCGACGTCTCGGTGGTGGCAGGAGGGGCTGCTCAGGCCGTCCTTGAGAGTGACAGAAAAGACTGAAATAAGGGAGCAAGATATCTACAATAGGAAGGTCAGTTTGTCGTAATGTAACGTCCTGTGGGCCTGTGCAGTGGTCACAGTGGACTGAATTGGTGACGAAAAGGAATTTGAGTGATTGATGATTGTTGGCAGTGGTTTCTCCTTTGTACTTAATATTTAGTTTGCGTCATTCATGATTGGGAATGTTGACACTTGGCATTAGACTGATGCATTAATGTATGAGGCCAATGTTCAATATCACCTCCAGGTTATGTGGAGGTCATATTTCATTACCGTCCAGTGTTTCCAAATTTGGTTATTTAACAGCTAACTGAAGGATAAAACCCTTTCTCGGCTGAGAAAATAAGCCATGTACAAACATATTGGATTATCTGAAAAAATGCATTGTTTGTAGTGGTTTTTGCGGGACAATGACTATTTGCAAAGAAATGGTGCTCTTAACCCTTGACAGAAAATATAAGTACCTCTGTGGTTACACCCTGACCACGTAAAACAAAAGTGAAAAATCACCTTCAATGAATTAAAGTGCAATTATAGTTATGTAAAATAATGAAATGAAGAATGTTTGTAGACAATTATTAGTGTAATGAAATTATTTATTCTTTGTATTCTATTCTGTAATTTTGTATTTACTCAGTAATATTCTACATCACAATGTGCAGTTACTTTAATAAAAACTGCATTATGATGTTAATTAGATAAAAATGTGCTGAATAGTCAAAGCTACTACTCTTTTCATTATATCAGTAGCATCGCGTTCAAACGGCATCTGTTACCGCTGTACAAAGAATTAGGTAATGCAGAAACATCAGTAGTTGCAAGTGATATCAGAGCTCCACCTGCTGGTTAATAAAGGTAGTTAATATCCTCAATGCTGCCTAGGAATTTTAACATGCTGCATGTTTAGTACAGAATCTTTTCAGTCCTCCTTTTTGTACCAAATTAAAATAGTTGTGTGTGTGTTTATCTGTGTTTTATCTGATTTGTATCAAAGCATGATGCTTGTAAACTGAAGGAAGAGGCATGTAAATGCAGCACGTGAAATATGAATAGTGCACTACCTGCTATTTATATGATGCAAAATATAAGCTTTCACATAATATGTCATGTGTAAAAAATTTAAATATAAGGATAATTCACCTGGATCACCTCATGTTCCCAGTAAAGAGTGCAATTCTGCGTTGTTATGTGCAGTGTTTTTTTTTTCATTCGAGAAAATAACTTAAACGTTAATTCATCCAAATCACTAATAAATTTATATTACTTTCTCATTTATTTGTTGTGGTATTTAGCCATGCAGGAAGTTTTAATTTCACATATCCACATTTAGAGACATCTGTCTCCGAGATTTCTGCAGGTAAAGGGATTTTTGTTTGTACTGCTCACAGAAGAGAAAAATAACTATTCAACATCTCTTCCCAGAAACAGCATCCTTGTTACTCTGGATAATCCAAAGACCTCACTGTGAACTGTTTTCATGGCAGCTACTTTGTTTGTCCAAAAGAAGCCACTATTAAAACTTTGGACAGTGTGTTCTGTGGATTATCCAGAATAACAAGGACACTGTTAATGGATATTTTTGTATCTCAGAATCTGGGCACAAATTAACAAAAAGTATTTGCATGGCAAGATATCACTAAAAGTAAGTCAGAAAACATGAAATTTTATTTATATTTATATTTTGGATGAACTGATCCTTTCATATTTTAGAGAAAACTGTGATGACACTGGCTAAATGCTGGGACTACCAACTCAAAACTCACTAAAGTGAAAGATGTTATTGACTTTGACAACAACAGAGGTTCTACACATTCACGGTTTTATTGCCAACAGTCATACAGAATAATGACAAACCCATACAACCAAAAGATTAAATCTGTAAACATCATTTGGACTTGTTTCTTTGTTTTTATTTCCTTTTTTCTTTTACTATACCTGTTCCAAAATATCGAGTTTCTGTGTGATTCCCTCTGACAAAGATTTATATTTAGAATCTGGAAATGATACATTTATAATATATAGTAGAGAGGGTGGGAGGGAGAGAAAGAGACAGATATAGAAAGAAAACGGTAGTCTCAAGCAGCAACACGCAGCAGGGCAAAACACAACCTCTAGTGAACAGGCATGCCCCATTGAAAATCAGCTATTGCACTTTGAAGAGAGAGAGTAAGAGAAACAAAAATACCATTTGTACAAATAAAAGGCACATTTTCATCAACAGAAATCTGGAAAGAAGCCATGTTCTTTTTGTGTCCCAGCATGTTTGGTTGTATAATTTCTTTATGCCACACAGCAGAGAGATTCAAGTATGGAGCTGTTCCTGCTATACTGTATATGCTTTTTTCAAAACTTTGCACATTTTGCCAAGGTGATTCTACAAATTTGCTCTTCAGAAATAAAGACTAATCTCAAAAGAATTCTTTACATTAGCATAGCGCTGTTTTTAATTTAGAGCATTATTCCTTCTCCCAAGATATTAGATTTGATGAAATTATGTCAAATTGGACAAAGTAAAGGTTAATGGTGGATAACTGTCAAAAAAAAACAAACACTTCAATGATCCCATGTGCCCTTCACTCTCTCAAAAAATGCCAATATGTTGCTCTGCAAACGGACATTGCTCAAAGAGACACAAGGAATCAGAGAAAGTCTTATCGGCTTAAACCAAAATGGATCTGGTGCTGGATTTTTTCATAACAATCCCAGTACTGCTCTTTGCCAAAATGTGTGTTGTTGTGAGATGCATGTACTGTACACTTCCTCTTGCAGCAAAATACAGGCACGTTATATTACATTGCATCTGTCTTGTCAAACTCATTGAACACATGCTGATTTTGGTTCAATTGAAGTGGTCCAGTGCATATCAAATACAATGCCCCATTCATTTGGTTTCCATCAGAGTACTGGCAATAGTGAGGATGAGAGCATTTAAAATGTATGTTGCCAGAACTGCTGTGTACTATTTCTATAAACCATTTTAAAAGTTTGATTCCCACTCTAGAAAAACAGTCTGTATAACCGAAATACAGTGAACTGTTCTGTGGAACGATTGTGTACAGTGGACTGCAAAATGAAAATGACCTGTCAAGCAACAATGTTTGAAAACTTGCTTCTTACAGAGTTGGATTTCCCCCTGTACTGTACACAGCCAGCATCCTTTGCTACTAATACGTGATGACACAAGAGAACTGAAGTGAGTGCGACTGACAGGGGCAAACAAGTGTCACATTTCTGTGATGACATCTAGTGGCGATACAGTAGTCTTGCCATAAGATATCCACACACATCAATAAGTGAAGGTAAGCTAATATTAAACATTCTGTGTTGAGTGGGCACTGTGCGAACTCAGCGTGTGTCTAATCCGGTCTCTTAAGTAAAAAGTCTAAATTACATCTCAACACATTGGTAATACGTCTTGGTACAACTGACACAGATAGATGATCAAATGATCTAACTTTCTGATTGTGCTATTCATTTGTGATCATTCAAATTCAAACAATTACTTTTTAAAAGTTCACCAAAACAAACTAAACAAAAATGCCGAAAATGTTGATTAAGAGTGTGAGAATATCCATTGCATGACTGAAGCCCCAAAATTAATCATTGACTACACACCTAAAAGAAGAATCCAGAGAAAACCAATTCAGAAATAGTCACTGGTTGAAAAGCATAAATATTTTTACAGTGTCAGCATACACAAGCACCTCTTTCAAATAAAGGGGTATCAAGGTCTACGAACAATGTCCACAAGAACAGTTGATTTTAAGTCATGCGACTGCAGTGACACAAGAAAATACTTCATAAAAAAAAGTTTATCTTTAAAGCCATTGACAGCACTATGAAGGATGTCTGTTTGCACCCCAACACTGTGACTACTGCAAAGCAAAACACATTCAGTTCTAATCCCCAATAAAAGCAGATTTCATATAGTGACTAATTGAGTCAGCCATCACACTATTGGTGAGATTAAAGGACATTTTCCCCTAAAGTAATTCATTATAAACAGCATTTTTTGTCCAAACTTTTTTATGTTTCCTCTACCTCTTAGGCAACACTTCCTGTATAAATGCGGTTGTGCTTGACAGACAAAACTAAAATTTCAGGTTTTTATTCTAAAATACTCTTGTTAACACCTCTTTGAGGTTTGATTTGCACTTCATCTAAACTACAAGAACAAGTGTCTTTTTTTATCTTTTAAAACACCAAATCAAGATATTATGTCCAAATGCACCTATGTCTTCTCAAAAATATAGCATTTCAGTCATCACAACAAAATAATAACAGTTCTATAAATAAGTTTTTTATCTTAAACAAATCTTTCCAGTGCCTCAAGTAGAGTAACCACGGGCCAATTTCCCCACAACACTGTCAGCGCATAGAGCCTTTAAGCATCTTCTCTTTATGTTTCATCTTCAAGTTTCAGGATGGTAGGAGAGACTGTCCAGAGCTTCCTATTTCCATCAGGCATTGCAAGCATCACTGTTTCCTTCCAACGGGCTGTAGGAGACACAGTTCACTCCCAGCTGACACAATCGGCAGATTGTTGTCACGGTGATGGCCAATAAGATGGCTAATGCTGTCAAATATATGATCTTTTGTCCGTACCTTTGAAAAAAGAAACAGATGTTATATGTCTGTTTTGGCCTAATAAGAAGTTAAATTTTTACTTGCACTATGAAAAATCTTTCACTTTATGCATTCCTGCTCACTGAGACCTTCAGTCATTTTTATCTACAGTATCTCCCTGAAACACACTCCACAAGCTCTTTAATCTTACCGTGCCCTCAGGGTCCACAAGCAGTAGGTGTTTGGCAAGTCCATTGTGCATGCCCGTCAGAACGTAGGACCCTGGGTTGGTAGTGCTTTTACGAACCAGGAAGTCCCCATCTTCTTTCAGCAGTTTTTCAGCGTCACGGCGGCTCATTTTGCCATGGTACCATGTTTGGCCTTCCAGCTCCTCCTGTGCCCGGAAGGCCAGTGAGCGCACAAGAAGAGGGCTCGAGTTGTCCACGGATGCTGCCTTGTGAAGACCAGAAGGCACCTGGGACTGGGCTTGCCCCTGGGACGGTGGATGGGACTGCGACTGAATGGCATCCTCGAAGGGCTCTGGTATAGGTAAGGGCGGTGCCAAAAAAAAAGGTGAATTAAGAGAGGAAGGAAATCTGTAGCACAATTTTTTACTTGACATCCTACAGCTGTCAAGACCAGCTGCTATAATAGTTGAAAACCTGAATATGTCTCTCGGAATCACTCTTCAAGTTATCATTGCTTTAGCTTGAGCACAGTGTTCTCAGATTTCTTCATCATGATAAAAAAATTGTAATTGGATCATCACTGTTATTATTATTATTATTATCATTATAGATGTAACATCCTCGATTAGAATCTGACTATGGTCTTTTTTTGCATGACATTCCTTTCTCACTTTTTCCCCAAGTAATGGACACTTTTTAAAAGGTACCCGGTGAAGTTTTCGACCACTAGTAGTGCTATGGAGCAACATATATAAGAATGGTACCCGTTTAGTTTGTCTCTGGAATGCACTACACATTCCTGCCAATGGTTTCACGCTATTCCACTAATCGACAGGTGGCAGTAATGTACCGAGAAACGTAAAAATTTATAAATGCTTTATGAAGAAGGCGGTAGACTCAACACATTTAATAGACCTAAAGGATAAACACAACATATTTTGGTGAGCAACACAGAATGCAAAATGTTGTTTACAAGACAACTCCACAGGGCACTAACTTATTTACATTATAATTGTTCATTTAGCTGATGCTTTTATCCAAAGCGACTTACAATTGCTATACATGTCAGAGGTTGCACGCCTCTGGAGCAACGATGGGTTAAGTGTCTTGCTCAGGGACCCAATGGTGGATGGGTCACAGTGGGAATCAAACCCGGGTCTCTCCCACCAAAGGAATTTGTCTTATCCATTGCGCCATCTTTTTTGATAGACTGGTATAGGTCAATTACATTTCCAGCACTATACCATAACTGTTACGGCTGTATGTGTTTCCCTGTGCAGTGTGTCTATGTTCCTCTTCTATCCTCTCATTCTGCACCGGGAGTGCTACAGCTGATTATGCCCTTGTGTTTTTGGTGTTCTTGATTTATCGTCTTGTAATGTTAAAAAAATCCTCTAATTTGGTTGTTTTAAAGGTGTTTATCTGTGTTAAGTTTGGGTCAGTGTTGGAGTGTTGTTTGCCACATGTAGCCACCAAAGGGTAGGGCGTAACCATAACCTATCATCATAACCTATAAAATAGAACTGCAATTTGTTAGTAGAGGAACTAATAAAATTGAAGAACTACAGTAGGGACGCCTGAACCTAGATTTGGATTTCATATAATAACAGTTAACTTCTCACGTGTAATTAGTGTCATGGCTTCTTCATACATAGTTACACACATCTTTATGTAACTGATCTGTCATGTACAATAATAGCAAAGCTACGGTTGAAGTTTAAAAGGAGGAATAAAGCTGTACACTGATATTAACCCTGTCCTATTGTCTTCATACGGATATGGTGCTATTATAATGCCACACTTAAGTCACTGAGAAACAAAAGCTGGAAAACATCTATAATTAAGAACTCTGATTAGAAAGTAATTTTACAACTTTACTTTAAAGGCAAAGCAAAGAACCTGTTCAGATTCTTTGTAGAGTTTCAACAGGTGAGCCTCAATGACTGCTTCCACTATTCAAATCATATGCCCAACAGTAAAAAGGGATGCACCGATCCAGGTATTTGAGTCAGTATCGGGCTGATATCGGATAGCAGCCCGATACTGACTCAAATACCTGTTTTGGCATAAGTGATAGGGGCCAATGGGCAGATCTATTAAATTCAATTACACGTGTACTACGCAATGCACCACCAGTGCGCCAGTAGACTTGAACATTTTTCTAGGAGAGCTAACATAGAATGGAGATACACCCAAATCTTAACAGGACTGAAACAATTGGACTGGTGCATATCTAATAGTAAATGAAATTTCGTTACACAGCATAAAGACTTACTCATATCAAACAGGTCCTTCTGTGGGCTCTCTTTGGCTGCAGCTGCCATGCCCTTTGTTACATTTTCCGCCTCTGCCTGGAGTGCTGCGAGCACCTGGGCATCAATCTGCTGAGTGTTCACATATGCGGGCATCTCCCCTTTTTTTGGTGTCTGACCTTTACTTTCGGGCAGACTGCTTATATCAAATGATCCTACAGTAGACATTTGAAGAAAGAATCATAGCCACAGTGTTGAACTGATGAAATTTAACATGTGTTATGTGTTTAAGTGGTGGGAAGCATGAATTTTCTTACCCTGCTGTATGAATATTGGCTTTCTTTCATCTCCCCAGTTTTCTCCACAGTGCCGTCCTTGGTAATATGTCTGATCTACTGAACCTGGGCCCATCTGATGACATACAAACACAGATATTAGTTATTACTCAATTAAGAAATGGAAATAATTAGTTGATATTTAAAAAATATTAAACATTGATTATGTTATTGCGATTGCGTCCACATAATAACAAAAGTTATTCTGTTCAAGTTGAATACACAAACCAAGTTGTACCTGGGATCCATCTGGTGGCGCATTCTGATTACTCAGCCGGGTGTCGATGAAGCCTCCATGGGGTGGCATCTTGCCAGGGATGTTGTTATAGTAAGGATGTTCTGTTGACTCCTCCTCTTCCTCTGTCCATGGTAACTCCTCCATGTTTAATACCCTGAGGAAAAACATGGTTTGATCCTGAAATTAAATACTGTCTGTGTGTGTGTGTGTGTCTGGTTGTGTAAGTAAATATGTACTTTTGTGAGTGTTAGGTGTATTATGACCTCACCTGTCGTGTGTGGAGGACGGTTTGCTTGAGGGACACTGCAGGTACTGCTGGAAGCGAAGGTCAAAGGCCTGGCCAATGGTGCTGATGACGTCCTGGGCCAGCCCGTCAGAGCACTCCAGGATGTGACATGCTGACGAGGGCAAGAGAAACAAATTTTAATGAACATCTTACATGTGAGATATGATACACTCAAGTCTGAATTAAAGGCATGAACACCTACCTCTTCTGTTAACGGGGTCCTTTGCTACATAGGCAACATAATCTGTTGTGTCCTAAAAAAAGATACATTACAACTGTTGTAATAATCTCCAACTATAAAATACCATAATACCTTCATACAATAACCTTTATTTTCTGGTTATTACATATTGGCTTTTAATACCAGTGATGGGAAGGTTAAAATTCATAATTTCCAAATACAGGATAACTAATAAATATTGTAATACAATTTGGATATTTAGTCATGTTTGAAGAGGGAACATATTTTGGAACAGGTCTTCAGTGAACAATGTACAGTATTGTCAGTAAGAGTAATTCAATCTAGACTGTATACACATTTGTTACACAGTATAATGACACATGCTTCTTTGAACTATATATACTGTAAATGCACTTCTTGCAAGTGCATTCCAAAAAATCCCAATTAATAAAGATAGAATGACAATACAACTTTGATAAATAATAGTTTCTCCCATGGCCAAACTTATTTGTTAATTATATTAGCAAAAATATATTTTTGTTATTAAGTAGTTTTCATTATTATTATATTATATTATTACAGATGGCAGTTAATTTGACACAGGTGACTGAGTTACTTACAGGGTCTCCACCTGATGCAAAAGAGATGGACTGCATGTGATGGTTGGCTATGATCTATCAAGAGCAAAATTATACAGTACACATTAGTTAGCACATGCCCCTTTATACAAACAGTGATAGATACAAAAGCACATGCATTAATTCTACACACATACAGTATATACTTTAAAATGCATATCAGAAATTTGTTTATTTCTTTTATTCCTATACCCAACGACAAAACACTGTTGCTGGTATCTAACACACTGTGAGGCAGCCATATTGGAAGTCTTCTGAAACAGTAGCCTATAAAGACATATTTTGAATTTTGTGATTTTCTGAAATGTATTTGCTTTCTATACCACTTTTATGTCTGTCAGAAGACAGAAGACATGCTTTGCATAAAAAGTGGAGCAGGGGGTAAAATCCTGTACCCTTGGGCTCACTAATTAACACTGTGTATCTTAATTGTTGTCTATAGAAATGTAAAAATGAAAAGTTGTGGTTTGACTGACTGGTTGTATTTCTTAACATCTCAAACATCTCATCACATTTCTCAAAACAATTAAAACAGCATGGTTAATGTCATTGTTTTTGACCAACTGTCAATTTTTCTTCTAATACATTTAAATCACTTTCTGTTTTAATGTTATTTACAGGCTGTTATCCAGCAAAAGTAAAGTATTTGGTCAGCTAACCATCAGTGCCTGCTTGAAAACACATCTAAAAGGCAGCTACAGCAGGAACCTGCTTGTTTACATGATCATTTAACATATAAATCCAGCCTGCTGCCTTGTTAGCAACAGTCAACAAAGGGAAAACAATTTGTTTAATTTAACCTTTCTTGAGCTACAACGCAGAGATTACGATCGAAGAGAGAAAGGGTTGGGTGAATCAGGGTCAGTCCCCAGATTTAGTGCTTTGTCAGCTGCTTCTCTGAATTATCACCAGAGAAACTGATATCAGAAATGTTATTCCATCTTGTTTGAGTGACTATGTGGGATTTGAATTGTTGAACTATTTACTCTTGCACCATCTGCTGGCAGTATTCAAGAAGGACACAGGAGTAGACAGGAATGCACAATGCAACCACTGACCACCCCTGCCACAAAGAAAACTATTTTATTACCCGTATAACTAAATATAGAGATGTGCATAGGGAAAGTCTAGTTGCCAACCTCCTCTGGTTATTCTAGCAGCATCTGTTCCTCAAATGTAAGTCGTTTTGGATAAAAGCGTCTGCCAAATGAGTAAATGTAAATATAATGTAATATGGAGAGGTCATGTGCTCCGCTTGTCTTCTTCTTTTAACTGCTCTTTTATTACATAAACCTCCATAAACAAACATCCATTGTTGTATAAAAACTGTTATCACTTAAAAAATAAGATTTCCTCCATCGCGTCAACCTAATTTTGGAAACAACTGATCCCTGATTACTTTTTTCATCTTTTTAAATTTTTGACCCATGCAAATTGTACATATAGCGCAGGGTATACTTACTTCACTATTCTCTGAGCTTTCAAACATATTCCATGGCCTTCTTCAGTGAATGTTTTTTTAGGTATATTTATTTCTGGCCAAGTCTTACTTTTGCAGAGCAATAATTAACACTGGTTGCTGGTAGGTTTGTGCAGACTGTCTAATACAATGGTGCCGCTTTTTTCTTCCTATATTTTTTTTACAAAGGTTGCACACTGACCTGTTTGCCGTCAGGGGTCATCAGGTTGAGGCTACTAGTGGAGATATTTAGGTTAATAGACATGCCAGCAAACTGCAGGTTGCTTTTCCCCAGGATACTAGACAGAGCTTTGGACGGTGGCTGAGAGGATCAGAGGAGGACACAGACAGACACAAATATTTTACTATGTATCATATCTAAGGGAATAATTTAACATGTTTTCGGAAAAATATTTGCTATCCTCTTTGGAGTTAGATGGGAAGTTCAATACCACTCTCATGCCAGTACGGTAAATGTGAATCTACGGCCAGCAGCCGTTTAGCAGATAGAGCTGCTTAGCTTAGTTTAGCTTGACATAAAGACTTGAAAAAGAGGAAAAGCTTTCCTGGCTCTGTCCAGCGTAACAACATCCACCTACCAGCACCTCTAAAACTCACAGATGGAAATGTTATATATCTAACTATTTCTTGCACAGGCATGGTGACTTCCTGGAGTATCTGCCGGTGCTCAATCAAAAAATAGTCTGGCAAATAACCTCCTGTAAATCTAAAATTAAGTACTGAGCTTTAGAGGCACTGGGTAAGCATCTAATTTTGTCTTTGGACAGAGCCAGGCTAGTTGTTTCCCATTTCCAGTCTTTATGCTAAGCTAAGCTAATCTGTAGCCTCATATTTACTAAGTCTCGATGAATAAGTCCCTAAGCAAGAATGCTGAACTATTCCTTTAAGGAGTATTATCCATTAAAGTGTAATTTCACTGCTAGTAAATGAATACAGAAGAAACATTTAATCTAATAATAGGTGGGATACTTTTCATACTGTTGTGAGTGGTGGTTTGAAGAAGAGAGGAGGCAAAAGGCCAGATAAATTAGCCAGGTCCAGTGAAAATTCTCAGTATGAAGCTGATGTCACCATAGTGCATTTGTCACACAGCCAAAATAACATTATCTTATATCTTACATCTCTTCTGAGAGAGAAAATAGTCTGCACTGATTTTGAACAAGCTCGAGAGAACAGAGTAATGCTTCATTTCACACCCCACATTCAGATACAGTCTCCTCAAACACTGTGGACACACAACATGTACACGCACACACACAGAAGACAGACGCTCACACAAACATGCAAACGAGCACACACGTGCACACGCACACACACACACACACACACACACACACACACACACTAGCTCAGCCTCCTGATCACAGATATTGTGCACTACATGAGTCACTATGCACTGTGCACGGTGTGCAATGCATCGTGGGCTGGAGCTACGCCCACGCACATACAGTCCCATACCTCTTCATCTCTCTTCTCTCTCCTCAACCTCTCTCTTCTCTAAGTACAATCTCTCTTTCTCATCATTTCTTCCAATCACTATGTGCCTCCGTTTTCCCTCTCTTTTTACATGAAAAAATAATTTACAGAGGCGGTGCTATATATAGAACGTGGAAGAGTAAATTAATATCTAATGCTGTTTCCTCTTTTTCTCTCTACTGTACCTTTCACTAACATTAAATTAAGATTTCTCAGCTCTCTCAGTGTGGGCATCACTTCTCCTGTGATCACTCCATCTCCCTCCTCCTTTCCTCTCTGTCCATCCATGTACCTTTCTCTTCCGCAGAGCTCCTTTGGTCCCTGGAACAGCCTCACACACCAGGCTGATAGCTTCCCTAGAGAGAGGGTGAGAAGAGGATGAAGCCCAGATGGTGACCATAGACAGCCACAGAATCACACTTATTTTGGCAATTGGTTAGACTGTGCAGTTACTATTCATGATTTTGTAAATGATTTTTGTAATTGCCATGATAACAAAATTTTATTTTTGTTATCTTAACAAGATTGTACAGCCATGCTAGTGACTCTGTGAGTACATTGTACATTAGCTCCTCTCCTGTGGAACCAGGTTCCAGTTTGGGTTCAGGAGGCAGACACCATCTCCACATTTAAGAGTAGGCTTAAGACTTTCCTCTTTGATAAAGCTTATAGTTAGGGCTGGCTCAGGTAGTCCTGAACCATCCCTTAGTTATGCTGCTATAGGCCTAGACTGCCGGGGGATTTCCCATGATGCACTGAGCTCCTCTCTCCTCTACTTTCTCTCCCTCTGTATGCAACCTTATCCCATTATTGCATGTTACTAACACAACTTCTCCCCTTTCTGGTAGTCTTGTGCTTTCTCGTCCCTCTCCTCTCTCCTCCTATCACTTCCTGCAGGTTTTCTGGCTCTGGAGCTGTGGAGTCTGGATCTGTGGCTGCGGGTCGCCTGCTGCCCCTGTGTTCCTGCTCGACACCCTCTACTGCAGCGACTGTTGTCGCTGGTCTTATTGTTATTATAATCATTAACATTACGATGGTTACCATTAACACTATTATAAATATCTGTACCATTTTTCATTTAGTTTATAGCAACATTACCTTCGCTGTCTGTACCTCTGTGTGTATATTGTGTAGGCTGCCTCCCTCCCCTCTCTCTCTCCTTACATCCCTCTCTCTCTCTCTCTCTCTCTTTCTCTCTCTCTCTCTTTCACTCTCTTCTCTCTCTCTTTCTCTCTCTCTCTCTCTCTCACCCCAACCGGTCGAGGCAGATGGCCGCCCACCCTGAGCCATGGTTCTGCTCGAGGTTTCTGCCTCTTAAAAGGAAGTTTTTCCTTGCCTCTGTCGCCTAGTGCTTGCTCTTGGTGGGAACTGTTGGGCTTCTGTAAATATCATCACAGAGTACGGTCTAGACCTGCTCTTGTATGAAAAGCGCTGTGAGATAACTGTTGTTGTGATTTGGCGCTATATAAATAAAATTGAATTGAATTGAATTGAATTGGCCCAGTAGAGCTCTCAGCTAAATGCTAATGTCAATGCATGTGGATGTTTAGCAGATATAATGTAAACCATGTTCAGCATTCTAACGTTATCCAATTAGCACTCAACACAAGCACAAGTATTTGCAGGTAAACATTTAAACCAGATGATGGCAGTAGATGAAAAGTCAGAATATCACCAAAGTCAGTAGGATTCATCCTCTGGGGACCATCTCTGCACCAACATCTGCACCAAATTTTATGGTAATCTATTAAGTAGTTGTTGAGACATTTAACTCTGGACCGATCAAATGACATGTGATTCCTACAGCCACACCTTTAGCTTGGCTTAAAATGTTTTCCTAAATTTAGGCTATTCCTTGATCAGTTATCATGATTCTTACTAAAAGAGAAATTAACTCTTGAAAAGCAAAACTAAAAATATATATTTAAAGATTTTTCGACGTGTATAGGGAATGTTGTCAGATTTTATTTTGGTTTTTTTTTCCAAACAGTTACTTTTTTATTATTATTGCAGCTAGTTTTTTTTCTCTTCTGTTACATCTTTGCAGTCTGATTTGAGAGTTACTGGACTATTCAGGAATGTTAGATGTATAGTTTACATATACAAGGAAACAAAAACAAATAAATAAATACACTACACAAAGAAATTGTAGAAATTGACATTGTATTAACAGTATGAACTCTACAGGTTGTTACACATAAAACTAAATAACCTTGGCCACAAGAGATCTGAGTCAATATAATTATAGTTAGTATAGTTATAATATGTAGTCTAGAGTGTTTTATATTGTGCCATAGGGAATATTACAAATGCACTGAACCTCTTGTAATCATGCAGCTGTATCTGGTATATAGTGCTACACATCAGAGTGAAATCTAAAACTGTCTTTAGGATGTGAAGTGAACACAGAAATATTTATACAAAAGACATGAATGTGTGGATTAAATAGCGGCTAAAGATAGAGCTGCTTTGATGCAGAAAAGTCAAATTCCCCTCTGAGACAAAGTGAATATTGGTTTCATGACGGTAACATGCCAGTTAATTTTTGTATCCTTTCTACCTGGATAAATCACACACAGCAGTAGGTTCTTTTAGAAAAGGAGAAATCTAAAAATAGCAACAGACATAGCTTTATCTCTGTGTTTGTCTATCTCTCTCTTTATTAGAGACAGAAACACACATACACAGTGAGAGAGAGAGAGAGAAAGAGAGCCTACCGCTGTGTGGCCTTGCAAACTAACATTAGTCTGGACTGACTTCAGGAAGTCAAGCATAAAAGTGGACATGACACAAACTGATTCACTGTTGGCCTGTGCCTCACTGCACATTGGTCAATAATTTCAAATATACATACAGAGTCACAGAAAGTTCCATGCAAAGAAATTGTGATCCCTAAATGTATTCTAAATACATATAATATCAAAATATTATGGATTGCAGATAGAAGCTTAGTAATACTGATACCTAAGTTTATGCTTGTAAGTATACGTTTATATCTGGTAAAGCATGACAGAGCAGTGATTTTCTCAAGGGAAAAAAGGGTATTAATAGATAAAACTAAATGTATTCATTTCTAAAGGGAGCTATAATGTGAGCCATTTGGGCACAGACAACAATACAGAAAAACTATATTTAATTTAGACACACTAAAACATTTTCAGTGACTAACAATGCAGTAACAATGCATCAAATTCAATAATTTTTCTCTTCTAATTTCTGGTAATTATTTACTTACTTTATTTAGTCTTTGCTTTACTCTATGTTTTCTGCTGTTTTTCCTGTGCTCTTCTTGTTATGTTTCTGCTCCTATTTTTTTTTTGCCTGGACAAGCTATAGAGACCTCATTGTCAGTCTTTTAGTCGCTATAACCATTGTGTATTTGCTGAAGTACACAAGTTATAAACAGACTCAAAACCTGGTAGGAACATATAGGTTGCTTGAATTTGTGCAATTTCATTTAAAAATTAGTGTCTTGTTTTAGACCCGGTATGAACAGTTTTCTGGATTTCACTGGTATGGATACATGAAAGGGCATGTAAGACTCAGTCTTACATTAATTCATCAGTAGTTTATTCATCACAACAAAGTTAAGGCCAGTGGAATATAACATTTGATGGAAAGGTAACTGACTGTAGTGTAAGCAGATCTTTTACAGTAGACAGGTTAAGACAAAACAGATTTGAAACTGGGTCCAGACTGCCCCTTACAACGGGTAGTTAACATGGTTCATTTTGTATTGAATGATGGTGTTGTACTTGTTGTAGGAGGCATATTAACTTTTATACAAGATAATTAATTTCATCAGATAAGATAGTTTAATCTTCCAATTCTACACAAATGAATATATTTTCACATTAAATTGTTTACAGTGAAACTAAAGTCAAGAGATATTATATAATTTTATAATATTGATACAAGAAAATGTTTATGCCTATTAAAAAACCCTGACACGATTTGTATTGTAATTCATTATATTTAGTCTTTACTGTGAACAAATATACGTCAGTCTTACGCGTATGTTGTTTGTGGGTATAAGCAATAAAGATAAAGAGAAATCTAGTGAATGCTGAAAAATGAGAAACCAAGTGTGAACATACCTTGTAATTTGTGATCTTGTGGTGAAATCCAGGGATCTCATTGACCGAAGGACTTCTATACAGCCCAGATACTGGAAAGCAAAAAGGTGAAAACTGTGTGAAATACATATTCAACAAGATGTTAAAGCTTATATTCAGATGTTCATGAGTAACACATCATCATGTACAGAAAAACACACGGGATTTGTTACTAATCCAAAAATTAAATCCAAAATACTGCAATCCTTTAATGTATACCAAATCATTACAATATTAAATTAATATTTAGAAACCAGGGACTTATTTCAGAAAGGAAAACCACAAAACTCTGGAGTTCTGTCACAATAGTAACGTGCATGATTTTTAAAAGCAGACTGAAGCATTATGTCATATTACTGTCATAAGCTCAAGTGTGTCGACATGTTTGTAGGGCTGGGCAATAAAACAATAATAATTATCACAATATAATTTTTTCTCAATAACAATATAACAACTGTTCAATTTATTGTCAATAAATGTTTGATTTAATTCATTTGAATCATGGACAAATTAGCATGTAATTTTTCTATTAAGATGTTTATTTTGTTGAGGAAAAGGGAGTGAAAAAAAGATTATTTTTTGAAAAAAAGTTTTCACCGTAATTGTTTTCAATGTTCCACCTCAGATTTGTGAAGTGATCCACTGTTTGGGATCAAGTGTTTGTCATGTTCTGACCATAAAGAATTTTTGTTTAACCACACAATTAACCATCTGGTTTCTTCAATTTTTACTCAGCAGCAAAAATCAGCCTTTAAACTTGAAAGAAATAATGATTTGACTTTTATTGTGATAATTATGAAATGTTTTTATCAAGATGACATTTTTGGACATATCACCCAGCCCTACATGTTAGATTAAAAAGCTTACAAATGTCGGATGACGATCTGGATCATTGGTCTTGTGTGTCAGAAATGAGACAAAAATTGCTTATAGCTACTGTATAACAATAAAAACTTTAGCAATTTAGATTTGTTGTCTGTCTCTTTCAACTTATATTCTCTGCAAAATGTTAAATCATGTAACCGTGTAAGTTTGTATGTTGTTTCAGATGAGAGCTAACTATGGATCTTTCACAGTGTGGCCGTATATATAGGTCTAAAATGGTCTTTACAAACTTTAGTTTCATAGCAATTCTAAGTGTATTAAAATACACAAATACAGCAGAAACCAGAATTACTGAAAATCTGTCTGTTACTATGGCAACTAAAGTCCTGTCACTAATCTGCAGCATGGCAGGTTAACTTGATCCTAACCCCTTGCCAGGACAGTTTAGTTAAGTCAATCGCAAAGCACTTTAGGCAACTTATTTTGATTTTAAAATGTATGCATGCATTAGAATTAGAATTAGAAATTAGAATTGCTATGAAACTAAAGCTTTTCAGACCAATATCTATGGCCACATTGTGAAAGATCCATATTTAACCATTTGCTCTCATTTCAAACATACATACAATCTTGGTAAGATTGCCACGTGATTGGCTACAGATAATTCCCTGTGGAAAAAAACTAAAACTGTGAATTGTGTCATGGGAGGGGAGTCTCAAAAAACCCACACACAAATACAGTGACGTTACCAAAAGACAAGTGAACCTGTATTTACAAGTCTGTAAATGTGTTACAATAAATCTTGCTTGAATTCTTTTCTGATTGCCAATTTGCAACAGTTTTGGACAAAAACAAAGACATTAAAATTGATAAAGGTGACTGTAAAACGTTTAAAAAAATGTTACCCTGCCAGAGAAATCGTTCACTTTCTGGCTAAGTTCATCACTATTAAGTACTGTCACAGGATGTGTTGTCTTTGAGTTGGTCACTGTGATATCCACTATTAATATCCAGTCAGCACAAAACACACTGAGTACAAATTATTTTAATAAGTCTCACCCTGATCTAATAAATGGATATGTAAGGGATGTGACTGAATATCAAATTGGTAATTTCAGTTATTATCCTTTCACCCCACCTTCGTCTGCTTGTGCACGTGAAAATAAGAGTTGCAAGCAGACCTAAACCCGTGCATATGTCCAATGTGCTTTCATAAACTTTCTGGTATGAGTGAAGTCTACTGTTTTGTTAAAATAGAAACATCCAGCAGGACTCTGACTCAAAGTTGGAATAAAATATTAAGTCAATGCTTGTTCAGAATGATTTGGAAACTGCATCAGTGTGTTACTATGCCACATGAGGTGATTGTAGTCCTCCGATCCCATAAAACCACCTACTCACATTACAGCACCTCTTCTGATTAATATTGCACTGACTGGGAACATTTTGTGCTGATGACTTCCTATCGTTATCAGAATCACATTCATAATCTGGCTGTAAACAAAGCAGACATCCAGACACACTAACGTTCCTACTTCCACTCCTGTTCAGAGATAAGTTATTAGAATCATAACTTTCATATTATGAGGCCCTTTCTCTCCAGTGAGTGTTTTGTAAGTACAAGCAAACAAATTCCATTTTGTCAACATGACGTTTGCACATTTTTAATGTAATCTAATTTTAGAACAGTGAGTTTGAAGCGCACAATTCAGCAGGGCCAAAAATATATCAAATAGTTCTAAAATTAGTAGAGAACTATTCTGGGGCACAACATGAAGACATTTTTATCTTATGCTGTACAACAAACAAGAACATGGTTCACACAGGAAAACTGAACTTCAAATAATTCAGTAGGAAAAGGGAGGCCAGCCCATAAATGATCTAATAAACAGCAGACACATACAGAGTACTGGCTTTGTAATAGGCAAAGGCCTTTATCATATATCAGTCATATATCATACTGGCTGCAGTTGTTGCTTACTGGAGTTAAAATGGGCTCATAAATTAAAACATTTAGTTTATTTTACATACATAACATAAAACTTGGCTCTCATATCACTTGGCTGAACTCAGGTTAAAGATGTCACAAAAACTTGTTGTTCCATAATGTGTACAGCTGTTACTTTAGACACATTGTATCATATACAGTCCAGTTCTCTACAGTCTAGACAGAAGGACTAGAGGATAAAGCATGTGTTCAACAAACAGGCTAAATAAAATAGGCTGATGAAATGAGTATTTATAAATGTTGAATAATTCCTGCTGTGACCCATCCACCATTGTGTCCCTGAGCAAGACATTTAACCCATCATTGCTCCAGAGGCGTGCGACCTCTGACATGTATAGCAATTGTAAGTCGCTTTGGATAAAAGCGTCAGCTAAATGAATAAATGTAATGTAATGAATAACTAGAAATATCTGTACCAAATAAGCATGATAAACAGGCATGGCTAACGACATGAGCAGAAAGTAATTACAATATACTAATCAATGTAAAAAGGATGGCAATTACTAAAATTAAATATTCAACAATGTATCACATGGCTATTTGTCTGTGAAAAGTGTGAATCTGGTATCTGGAATCTGGAATCACTCTGTGATGAATCCACAGAGTTATCACCTAAATCCACATTTCCCCATAGCTCTATGGAGTTTTATTGTTCTGTTTCTTTGCTCATTTTAGGACATTTGTTGATTATTTGTTGCAGGACAAAATCTGGACTGAATGTGTGTTTTGTTTTTTTGCATAAATACATAGCTACCATGGGCTAAAAGTGTGGGTGTAAACAGTGTCACTGTCAATCAATGTCCCTTTAGAGTAATGGTGCATGATGTGCGAGGAGTGACCACATGACGCTAATTAAAAGTGCTGTGAGCATAATACCATGTTGAACTCAATACACACAGGACTCAAACCACAGGAAAAGCAGAGGGTGGGGTTGCAGAGACCGGACCCATTTCCCCTCTCACAGTGTGGATGCTTTCAGCAGCATTGACTGGACAAATAAGCGCTCCCGTCCTTAATGCAGTTAATGGAATGTCATGCTGGTCACAGATACTGTAGGCCTTGTTCAGGCAAGTTGTAGTAGGTGTCATATGATGACAGTCATACTGTTCAACAGCATTGCTGTTCAGTATCCTCATTCAGCCCCCCTCCAAAAAACTACATCTTGCCTTTTGTTTACTGTACACAAATTAGAAAGAGAAAGAAAGACTGAAAAGATTACACGTTCAGGCACATGCACACTTTACTTCTACGTTATGGTTTCAGTGAAAATGGTTTGCTCCATTTTTTTCCATTCTCTTTACACCTTGAAGAGCCAGGGCTCAGCATCATCACTCCTAATGCTAGTGACTCATTGCCAGCATGATGACATTCACAGCTCTCGTAGTTGTGCGCCAACTTGTGTTCCTTTAAACGATGTATGATGGCTGAACATTAACATGAGATACAGATGTGATGAGACAAACATGCACTGTATGTCTTCTTTTTTTTCTTCCTATTCCACCATTTCACTATCTGCGAGCTAAAACGGCCGTACAGCTCATACAGATGCACAATGTTCAGAAATAAAACATCACCATGGTTACAAAAGCATAACGCTGCAGCTTCACATGCACAGAAATACAATATAAGTTGAAATTGTTACAGCATGCTGAAAATGAAACTAATAATTAATGCTTTTGTTTTCCCATCACAGATATATCCCCTACTTTTCCCTCCAATGCTGACCTTCTATTTTCTGAATTATTCAATGACTATTTTCTGGTCGCTGCTCCTTCACTCAGACAACCCTCTCAAGGGCACGTTGTGATGTGCCAATGAAACTACATTATCTTTCCTTTATCCCCGCTTGCAGGTAGCTAAGCTTGAGTCATTGAAAAAAAGAGAAAATGGGGAAAGAATGGAAAAGAGAGACAGGATAAAAACAGAAATGAGACAGGGGAGACAGAGAGACCACCAACCTTCACAATGTATGTCACTCCTGGACCAGCGATCTTCTCGCTCGAGTGTAGCCACCCTCTGGAGGGTTTGCTCACCAGTCCACCACCTCCACCTGGATTCCAGTCTTCTCTGCCCGGCTGGTGCTCATCCAGCCTGCTCTTCTTGCTCATGCTGACGGCTGGCTCCAGATGCGAGCAGGGAGTTGAATGGGAGGCCGAGCTGCACAGAGAGCCGCCCACACCAGAGGCTGCTGCCGCTGCTGCTGTCGTTGCACTGGGGCTCGGGCCACTGGAGCTGCTTGAGCCCGATCCCCCACCCGCCTGCAGCTTAGACACAGCCAGGTCCTTGACAGCCGAGGGCAGACCCTTGATGCCCAGCAAGCTGCCCGAGTTGCTGAATTTCAGGCCGGACACCTTGTTGATGAGGGTACAGAGGGTGGTGCCTCCATCTTCCAGGTGGTCAGAGCCGTGGCTGGTGGGGGTGCTGGAAGCAGAGGTGGTGGAGGACGACTGGACCTCAGTCGGGGGTGTGTAAGATGTCTCGGCTGCAGACTGGGGGGTGGCCGAGACCTTGGGGTTCATGGACAGGCCGTGGAGAAGCTCATCGACGGATGTTACTGACTCATTCCTGAAGCGGTTGTATTTGGTACGGTGAAGCATACCCTTCTCTCTCTTGCTCTCTCCCCTCTCTCCACCAACCGACACGCACAGCCTGCCTCTTTCACAAGTGTGCTGGCAGACGTGGCTGAGCCGTGCTGATTACCCTCTCCTGTAACATAGCAGCAGCGGTACAGGCAGCAAAATGCCTTTTAGCAACACACAGGCCACCTGACTGTAATTTTCTCTATAGAGGTTACAGTGGTGGTTGTGTTGAGCTGCTGCTGCTGCTGCTGCTGCTGCTGCTGTCGCCAAAGTCCAATTTGCTCTCAATGAAATCCAGAGCAGCAATCCAATCCGTCAGTGGGAAATATACAGACACAATCCAGCATTGAGGCAGAAGAAGAAGAGGATGGAAAGAAAAAGGTCTCTAAAAGGCTGCCAGTGTTGTGGGGCAGCTTGTTTGGTTTCCAGCGGTGATGCTGCTGCTGCTGCTGATTTCTAGCCTCAAAAATCCAAAAACTAAGAGAACAGAGGAAGGTCTATGTTGTCGATGATCACGGATACTGCGAGGGAAGAGCAAATACTCTCTACTGACTGCTGCCTGCCTGCCGGCTCAGAGCTAAAGCATGACTCACTGATCTGAGAAAACCTTCTCAACAAAAGGCTTGCTGAACACTGCAAATCACTTCCTGTCGGAGGGGGAAAAAACCTCCCACTTACAGCACACTAGAACCAATCAATTTTTAAATTCCCCAGTCTGATATTTATTCTCTGCAATTCTGTCCTTCCTATTTGTTTTTCTGAGAAAAAGAAATGAAGAATGTGAGGAAGATTGATTAATTAACTTAACTGTGACATAATTATTACACTTATTTGCTTGAATTCATGTTATACACAATTCGCATCTTACAAAATGGATGGAACCGACAAAAGTTGGGACAAAAGTCTGAAACACACGATAAACTAATCACAGAGGGGAAAATAAATTAAATAGGTAATGCAAA